TAGTCGTTGAGAAGGCAATGATGAGTTCGGCGGTCGACCGTGAAAATCTCGCGGTCGACCGCGAAGCGGTCGACCGTAGCTGTCGACCGCGAAAGTTTCTGGATGGAGCCACGGTCGATCGTTACGGTCGATCGCGAACAAATAAAAGTCATACAGGAAAAATTAACTGCTGGCGGTCGATCGTGGCGGTCGACCGCTAACTGATACATGACAATATACAAGTTTTGGGCTGATTTTGAAAACACGTTAAAAATATCAAATCAATTCCAAAAATAGCAAAACTTTGGGAAAAGTTTCTAAATGATGAAATAAACATGTTTGAAAATGAATTTTTGGAAAAGCAATTTTCATTTGTGAAAACTCACTGTTTTTGAAAAGTGTTCATAAAACCTGTTTTTCACGAACATGAAAATTGAAATATAACTTGTAAACTTGTATCATACATACATTATATATATAATGAAGTATGAATGAGCTGTAAACATGAAATAAAAAACTATTGTAACAAAGTTTGATGAAAAATCATTTATATGATAGAAAACGTCAAATCTGTGTTGTGTTTATATATTGAGCTTAAATATAAACATACAATATATGTAAGCAAACTACTCTTATACCTAGGTGAATATACACACATGAACTTGAATCTTTAACTCTTGATTGTCGTGTGTTGAATTACCTGAAAAGAGAAAAACCAAACAACGGAAACTAGAAAACATATTAGCTATAAATTGTTTGACAAATTATCATCAAAACTATAAGGCCAACATTATAAGCATATGCACATATAGTTGTTTGAAAACTATTGCATGCTTTGATTAATTATGCAGTTATTAGCTTAAATTTATCATTCAATTGTGTGAATCTAAATATATATTCAGAGAATACTTGACTTTATTACTTTTCAAATGCATATGAACTATTTTTTTTATAATCTCGACTGCAAGCAAACTCTTATTGATGAGTCATTTGCAAGAAGGGATTCAGCTCATGGACATATCCTCTCAGATTCTATTCAACAGGGCAATGGCACAGTTTATTTTATATGCCTTGAGGATGGGTATTATTGCACAAGCGCATGAGTGCCTGTCTGAAATTTATACAGGTGGTAGGGTGAAGAAGCTGCTTCGCAAGGTGTATCTCAAAATCGATATCCTGAAGAAACTCCTGAACAGGTATGTGCCACATTTATTGCTAAATTTTTTTCAATCAAGCTAATATAACTGATTTATCATAATAATGTCTCTTCCTTAGTAATGATCACAAGAGCCTATTCAAATGGTAATATCCTTTATCACGCATACACGCATGCACGCGTGTTCTTCAATCCATGCCTTCAGCACTTCCGAAGATATTGTTTGATTTTTTTTAAACGGCTTTCTGTGTTTTTTGTGTACATTTTATGGATTGACTGTATTTTGCTACCCAAAAAAAGCTTGTACATGTGCTTTTATGCAAGTGTTTGTTTACCTAAATTCATGTGTTGCATTGCTACCCAAAAAAAGCTTGTACATGTGCTTTTATGCAAGTGTTTGTTTACCTAAATTCATGTGTTGCAGAGAGAATAAGAACTTGACTGGGAATGTGCTTTTATGCAAGTGTTTGTTTACCTAAATTCATGTGTTGCAGAGAGAATAAGAACTTGACTGGGACTGCGAGGTATGCAAGCATGAACATCCACCTTGGTATAAGTATGTATTCTACTATTAATTTCTTAAAACACTTCCTAACATATTTTAGTTTTCTTTTACACCTTGTTGAGGTTGGTAGATACTTATTATATTTTATATGCTTGACTTATGTACATTAGAATCTTAAGAACAAAGCATTAGGTATGATCTGGAATCTCTAGGATTTGTTCTCACGCATTTTTTACGAGGAAGGTCTGATGTCTATCTCAACTTTATTTTTAGTAGCTTTGTCCATAGTATGGTGTAACGAAAATTTGTTTTTCTTGTTGTTTCCAGTCTTTCCTGGCAAGTTCTAAAAGCTGGAACAAAGAATCAGAAATATGAAAAAGTTAGTGAAACAAAAGTTACCACCTCTATTGAGGTAAGATCTAATACACATAATAAAGTTGGGAGCCTTGACGGCATCTTTTCATACTTTTCTTAATAATGACTAAATAGATATATATATTTTTAATCATGACAACATTGACATATTATCTTCAGGCATTATGTCGTGGATATCCTACATAATTTTCATCCAACTTCCACTACTGCCATTCACTACGGTTTGACAACAAACCTGATTATTCATAACTTTAAAGAATATTTCGTGACCTTTTTATTCGAGAGGATAAGCTATTCTGGTAACTCATATTGTTCATGTTGAGGGTGAATTTTGTGTTGATGGCAGGTTTAGATATTTGTTATTCTCAAGCAAGATGTTGAATGATGTTGAATCGTAATCTACAGGATTTCTATTTGAATATGTGTTTGATTGGACCATATTGAAGTATCACCAATCACAAATTGCTAGCACCCCTCCACGACCTCTTGTAATTCTTGCATATATAGGCTTATTAATTTCTTACAGATAGGTTTTCATTTGTTTTGATTTCTTTTTCTCTAGCATAGCAACATCTTGGTCATTTTTTATCTTCTAAATAAGGTTCTGGAGCAGGACCTAGCTCTGAGTTGGCACCAGATCTTGGTAATGTCAATAGGCAATCTGGTACTTAATTTTTTGCTAACTGTTCCTTTGGGAGTCTGCTGTTAAGTTTGTTATATCTGTTTATATTATATAATACATCATGTTTCACTTTCTTTTTTATTAAAAAATTCCCTCCTTCATGCTTGCTCTATTACATGTTTTATCTATTTCCCGACCAAGTGCTTCTGTGCTACTCAGTTAGTGTGTTTCATTAACATGGTCATTTGTTCTTAGACCTAACATAGATAAAATTTGTTTATAATATCTTTATTTTTATTAACTAATGCCAAAATACCTTTCCCAGACTAGCATTTACTAAATTTCGTACTTGAAAATTTTAATTTAGATGGTAAAGAAGGGAGAACAAGTGGTTGGTTAGCAGATCCTTCTCGTCTCCGTGCGTCGGGACAAGTCGTAAATGCAGACAGCTTACTAAAAAAACACGGGTAGCAAATGATTCAAAAGAGGCTTTGGTGAATCAATAGTTCTATATATCATTGTTTTTAACCTGTGATAAGTCAGCTTCAATGGATCTATGCGACATCTGAATTTTATTCTAATAAGAAACTTATTGGAGCCCAATCTGAGAGTGAACTCTACAGGAAATATCAATTAAACTTGATCCATATCAGTAAAGACATATCTAATTCTTTTAAGTTATAGTCTCATGGTTTTCCGCCTTTGGTTTCATTTGTAATTGATTTTATCAAAGATAGAACTGCTGTTTTAAGAGTATGATTCTTTGGTTCTTTGCCTTCTCAAAAATTCTTGCTCTATACTATCTTCACAAATTTTTAGAATCTTGCAAATTTACTTCTATTCAATGAATTTTATAGACATGTAATCAGAAAATCTCACGATCTTAATAGGTATAAGTAGCTTACCGCTATAATGAAATTTGGAACCATTAAAGCTCAAAATATCCAATGATAAAGAGAAATATTTATAGTATCTCTATTGTTTGTTGCATGACTATTAATTGTTTTGAGGAGATAGAAATAAGTAGGACTAAAGAAAAAAAAATTGATGCTACTATTTTAGTAGCATTTATATTGGATGATTATGATTAAATAGGTCGTCTACTGTCATCTGTATATAGGTAGCATTGGTTGACTGAAACTAACTGTTGTATATCAAATAAATTTCTTTTATAAAATTATTCATTATTTACTATTGTTAAGGATACAAACAATCTATTATCACCTAGTTGATACATAAACGCAATTTTATTATTCAATTCTTTTGAATTTTTAAATTCTATACATATGACTGCACTTTCGATCAGAACACTCCACCGATGGGGTGACAATTTATGACCCGACCCATCAACCCGACCCGACCTGACCCGTTTATAATGAATATGAGTCAAGTTATATGGGTCGGGGGTCAACCCGAATTTACCCATTTATTAGATGGTTAATTCGCCGACTGACCCGTTGTAAACACCAAAACACCCGCACTGACCCGCAACCGCTCTTCTTCGCTTCTCTCCAGCTTCTTACTTTCATCGTTCCGACCCAAATTCCAATTGATTTCAATCAAAACTCCAAAAACCCAAGAAATTTGAGGAAAAAGAGGAACTTTAATGGCTAAAGACGAGTACGACTCCACTCAGTTGATCGATTGCAATGGCGTCTTCAACGTTTAAGGGCTCGAGAGCTTCCTAAAGGTGGCGAGGCTCGCCGACTACGAGATCAACTACGCCGTCGTCTCGATCATGGGGCCTCAGAGCATCGGTGAGAATATTTAGCTGTTCTTATTTCTTGAAAGTTTACTTTTCCCCCCTGTCAGAGTACATTTTTTGACAAAACCTTCAGAAGATTTGAGAATTAGAGGAGAACTCTAAAGCCATATAGAGGAGTGTTTGTGTGTTATGTGATGCTTCTTCCGTTCTTCAATTCTTGCTCGTTTCTTGAAGGTTCTTTTTCACAAAAACCCTTGAACTTTGTAGTAAGTTGCACGAAACGCTTCAGAACTTTGAAAGTTAGAGAAAACGCTTGGACTTCTGAAATTATCCTTGTCAAGTGTCTTCCATACCTCTAAAAACGTAGAAGTTGCATAATGTGATTTAATGGAGAGGACGAGTGTTGTTGACGCGGTTGATTGACTAGGACGATGTCTTATACGGGTTGGGTCGGGTAACCCGTTTAATAAACGGGTCGGGTCGTATGACCAATTTATTAAATGGATCAGGTCGGGTCACATCTATACGGGTGGGGTCAACTATGACCCGACCCGACCTACCGTGATAGAGGGCTGAAATACCCATACTGTCCCCCTGTTTTGCAATAATGGCGAAGTTTCGCACCCATCGTGATGCTGAAATACAGGATCCGTACCCGCTATACTACCGTGAACCCTACAAGCGTTTTGACTGGACTCAAGACTTCAAAACCGAGGGAGAGAGAAAAACCTAGGTCGTGGATCTGAACGATCCATTTCTCCTCTGAAATCTCTACACTTCTCTCCTCGTCGTCGATCCCCGATGGCCAGAATCCCATGGATTCTAGGGTTTCTGGTTCTGATCTGCGCATCTCGATTCCTCCATGGATCCGCCAGCATTCGTCCGATCTCCGACGCTCACCGATCCGCTGCTCTCGAGCTATTCGCTTCGGCTGATGGATCGTATGCAAGGTTCGGTCATCATCGATCTAAAGATTAATTTTTTTCTTGAATTTTATGAAGTTCTAGGTTTAACTTTAAGTTTTCATTATGAATGTCTAATTTCTAAAATTTTCCTATTATTGCAAAATTATGTAGTTAAATTGTGTTGAGATTGTAATTTTTTTGTTCCATATTGCAGCTTAGAAAAAAGTTATGAGGCATTGAGAACATTTCAGATGCTTGGACTCGAAAAAGTTGCTGATATTAGCCCAGCAACTTGCCCAATTGTTGCGGAGATACTCGGGTCATTGTCATCTGCAGCAAAGGAGTTGTTTCAGGCACTTAGAGTAAATAGCATTCTGAAATGTCAGATTGATGTCAAAACCATTGAGGTAACTTTGTAAGCTTATGAAAGGGGGAACATTTAAAATATTTGATGCTGATCTTAAAGCACCCATGTAGAGAGCCGTATCGAAACTTCAAGATGGTGTAAAAACGGCAGAATCATTATTAGATTTCTATTACACCGTCGGGAGCTTGGTTCATATCAAGGTAGAGTTGAATAACATCTGACTTCATTCTCTTCTTGAGTATTGCAAAAGTTGCATACAATCTTCTTTTATCTGTAACTTGTTCCATTCCTTATCTGAAGATCAACATTTATTCACTTTCCTGATGCAGAATCAAGGTTTTGATGTGATATTATCAGATGTAGATAGCGTGTTTCATTCCATTAAGGTGATAAACCTGCAAACTCCCCTTGTAATTTCTCTTACTTTTTTTACTAGCTTTCCTTTTGATGAAGAAGTTGTCATTGCAATTTATTGGTTTCTTAGGCACTCAGTCAAAGTGATGGAAGATGGCGATATGATTCAAGTGGTGCTGAATCAAGCACTTATGCTGCTGGTACTCATCGTATTTGGAGTTCTGTGGGAAATAATTTTGTACTAGATGCTATATATAGCTGTTTCTCCTTTTGATGAATGTTGTTGCAATTTAAATGGTTAATAATCTTCTGAGTGCAGCTGTTGTTGCAATTTAAATGGTTAATAATCTTCTGAGTGCAGCTGCAATGGTGCTTGGCCACACTGATTGTCCTTCATGTTTGATGTGTTAATAATCTTCTGAGTGCAGCTGCAATGGTGCTTGGCCACACTGATTGTCCTTCATGTTTGATGTGTTGCAGGGATAGCACTTCAAACACTCGCAGGAGTGGTATCGCTGGCGGATTCAGAGGTGGATCAATCAACGGTGAGACTTAATTTACTGAAAATTTCTTGTTTACGTTTATGTCTCATTATTATTTGATGTGGTGTTACCTATTTGATGTTATAATAAACTCTACAATTCAATTGTTTTATACTTCAGACTTATGAGAGATTTGCTTACTTTTGCGTAAGGTTGCAATTTGTGGGATTAAATGTACTTTTTCACACTTCATGGTTCACACTGAAGTTTATTTTGTATAAATTTAAGACAATGTGTATTAGTTTAGTTTGTCCATAGAATTGGTAATTGCTATGCTAACATTTAACAATTTCATGGAAGTTAGGGTGATTGATTTTGCTCAAGCATCCAACTCACTTGTGCTTGAACACATTCACAGCCTATGATTCCATGAAACGTATTCATGTTCCTTTGATGGGAATCCGAATTTGATTATTTCGTAGAAATCATTGAGGCAACAAGTGTTTCATCGAATTTGGTAAGATAGTAGCATGCAATGTGATCAAGCTGATAACATAGATTAGCAGTGAATTTGATCAACCATTCACAGGTGCAACATGGATTGGAAGAGATCTGAACTTGTGCATAATAGAAGAAAGTGAATATGTTGAGTTTTGGTGGCTGTGTGGGTTAGGGAGATTTCCATCTGGCAAAAGTTCTTTGTTTACTTGAAAATTCATAGAAACATGGTGTTGATCAAATTTTATTCTTCTATATGCACATACTTTATAGGCTTGTTCTCTGGCAAAGTCAAAGCCCTTTTTATTGGTTACCCTCGACTTTGTTCTTATTAGTTGTAGAATTGGTTGTCCTAGACGGTTTGCCTTCTCATGGGTCTTTTGGTTGCTTACACCCTATGTCCTTGTCAATATTGTTTGGGAGTTTTATAGAATTCCACTTGCTTTCTCAGGATTCGAATATTTAAACAAATTCATCCTATCTTCAAATTGGAGATTAACCTATTGAATTTCACGACTCCTTAAGGAATAGTATAAGTATTTGGGTACCATCAGATATCTAGTTGTAAAAAACTAAACTTATTCACTTCATGTTAATGTATGACAGCATGAGATGATCTTCACTAAAAGTAATACTCATAAAAGTTATCTAGGCCCTGTACTAATAGCAGCTTGCCGTAGTTAAAGAACAATGAAGATTTACATCAATAGGACAAACCTTACCATTAAAGTAGTTTATATTTCCGTATAGTTTCACTTTTCAAAGGCACTATTTTCCGGCCATGTTATGTCTACCATCTTGTTGATGGTCTATATGGTTGCTGATGTATTTCTTAATAGTGTTAGAAGCTTGATACACTGGTAAAGGGATTCTGAATCACTCCTTCAACTCTATTTCTCGGAGCATCAAGCAAAGAGTTGTGTATTTGATGTTTCCATTCATATCCTCCTTTGTTTGTAGTGTGACTGTGCCTGACATGTCAAACTATGGTATGGGTGTTGTAACTTGTATTTGATGTTGAAAGCTTACACACAATAATGTAAACCTAACTAGAAGGTGCTTTCATATACATGCTTTATGATTTTGTATAGCTGGAATTCAAAACAGCGACTGCTTTCTAATCATTAGGCCCTAGAAAGTCCTTACTAATAGTTAGGCTCTAAAAAGATCCTCAAATCTACTGAAAATCCTACTTAATAGTTTACTGTTTATAGATAAAGCTATAATAATTTTCTATTACAATCAATGAAATTCTAATATTGAAAGAAGTCTGAGGCATCTTCTTTCTTTATTCGTTCCTTTCTGACCGTCCAAACAAAACTCATCCTACCTCACATCTTTTTTTTTTTAATAGAAGTTTGGAATATGATCATCTCAATCACTTTGAGTTCCTAGAAAGTGTGGAGATAGGTTTCTGTTTAGCAATCAGTGGGAGGAACCATAAGATTTTGATTTATGGAATCTGTAAGAAAGGAGAAAATAGATTATAAAATGCATTGAAAAAGTAGAACTATCAATGAATATTCCCAGAAAGGAAGTAGTTCTCATATGCTATTCATAATGTTCCTAGTTGCCCTCAATTTCTTACATTGAAACTGTCTATGGTATGGTTCTTTACATCTATAAGTAAACTCATGATTGTAATTTTCTATCATCTGGATGCATAAATTGATATTTACACATCTATCTTTTTTTTGGGTCAATGAAATAAATTTCCAGTAACCGAAATGTGCACATGTACATTAGCAAGACTCCGGCATACCTGAGGTGACTACAAAAATCCCCAACTCAGGTAACTTACAACCAAGGTTGTGGAAAGCAGAGGGAAGCGGTGAGGCACCGCTCAGGCTTTTTGAGGCTTTAGCGGCAAAAAGGCACCAAATAAAAAAGCAGTCGAGTTTAAATATGTATAAATATGTTGGAGGATAGGACTGTGAAGAAATGATTTCAACTAGAGGAGGAAGTGGAGGAGCTTTGACTTGGGATAGTTATGGTGAGCTTTGACTGGAGATAATAATTGTCAGTTTTGATGAGGAGCTCAAGAGAAGGTGATGTCGTGATGGTGATGGAGAAGGCAGAGCTTGATGGATGGGTGGATTTGGTGGTAGCACCGCCGAAGTTGGTCGGAGGTTGTGGTCAAGGCGATTGGAGTGGGTGATGAGGTTAGTGTTTATTTTTGAGTTTTAGTTAAGAAAACGGGTTGGGCTTGGGTTCATTTTGGTACAATATAAGTCCGTATATGTTTTCTTTAAATCAATGTTAAGTGCTTTTCAGCACTTAGCAGCACTTTTACAAGCTTTCTGTTGCGTTTTGAAGCATAAAGCGCGATGTTCGCTTTCATTGGTCACTTTCGATGAAAGCAGAATTTTGAGACATTGCTTCTGCCTAGTAAAGCGCTTAAGTGACCAATAGTGGGGCTTGATTCAACAGTGCTTGCAACCTAATAAAATCTATGCTCTGTAAGCCATTAGTTGCATGAGAAATTTCCTGCATATAGCGTCAATTTGATGTAGTACATTCTTTGGAAACACAGAATTACTAGACCAGAAGGATTGGATGCCAAAAGAACATTCCTAATAAGTTCAACTTTCCCTGCATAAAAAAGGTGCTTGTTGTGCCAACTTTGGATTCTCAAAGTAATTTTAGGTATCACTTGATTACAATCCACATCAGAAAGCCTTTTAGAGACGAAAGGTAACCCCAATATCTAATAAGCAGTGAACCAACTCTATACCCCAATGCATCAACAATTTGTTCCTTGACGGCATCAGTCACCCCACGGAAAAATATGCACTCTTTTCTGGACTTGCCATGAAGCCACCTTGCTAAAATCCTGTTAAGACTTTGTGAAGTAGAGAAACTAAACTAAGATGCAATCGAGCACATTTAGGGTGATAATGGAACGCTCCCAGTGATCTGATATGCTTCAATTGCTTAGAGATATACTCTATGCTGATAACAAATTGGTACGGGGAGAGGGGTTCACCCTGCCTCAGTCCCCTTTTGCCTCTAAAATAGTCATGTAACCCTCCATTAAAGAATATAGAACAAGGACTTGTTACACAAGCCATAATCCAGTTGACCATTTGCGTAGGAAACACTAAACCCTTGAGCATAAGGTATAGAAAATCCCAAGTTAAATGTGTCACATGCCTTCTTGATGTCAACATTTATCATGCATCTAGGTGATATTGAGCTCCTATCATCATACTTTATGAGTGCATGCACCATAATAATATTACTAGTAATGATTCTCCCCTTAACATATGCTGATTGTGCTTCACTTATAAGGAGACCCATAACTGTTTTCATACAGTTGGCTATGACCTTGACAATAGCTCTGTAAATAAAATTACAGCAGGCAATTGGTCTAAACTTAGCAGCAGTTCTAGGACATATGGATTTAGGAATTAAGGTGATTGAAGTAGAGTTTAATGCCCAAGAAGCATACCTGATACAAAGAATTCCTTGATGTCATCAATAACATCAGCACCAATGATAACCATGCCTCCCTAAAGAACAAAGCAGTGTACCCCCATCAGATCCAGGGGCCTTTGCTTCAGATATGGACGGCATAGCCACCTTAATTTCCTCCTCAGAAATTCCTCAGCACAGAGAGGATCTTTGATCATCATTCAGCACATATCCACTCTTGATAATACTCTCACCAGGTAAGCTCAAGTTGTGGTTTGTAGACTCCGTAAGGCTTTTGTAGAACTTAATGACCTCCTCAATAACACAATCATCTGTTAGTCTATTGCCCTGATCATCATATAAAACGAGGATCTTGTTATGGTGCCTCAAGGACTTCATTGCAGAGTGAATATTTGGTACATTTGTCCCCCTCTACATTCCAAGTAATTCTTGTTTTTTGTTTATAAAAACTCTGTTCAACTTTCAAATGTTTAGTGTATTCTTGCAACTGAACTTTCTCTAATGCCATCAAATTACCATCTCTAGGAGAGTTTTGAAGTGTAGCTGAGTGACCCCCCCCCCCCCCCCCCCCAAAAAAAAAAAAAAACGCCTATCCTCCATAACAGAGATTAGACTTGGTGAGTGATCAGAAAGTTGCTTGAAGGAATTTAATCTGACTAGCTAGATAATTTGAAATCTAGTTCTCATTAACAAGGGCCTTGTCAAGAGCACACCACATCTTATCATCACCATCTTGTTTATTGTTCCAAGTATAGAAACAGCCTATGGTCTTTAATTGATTGGGCCCTCCACATTTTTCATCTTCATGCAGGACATTGTTAAAAATCCCCGCACACAATCCATGATAGGGAAATAGTACTACTGATGGTTTCAATTTCCATTCCACAACACAGCTTTCTGCTCTAAAAGATTAAGCCCATAGATAAAGCAAGCCACACACTTCAATTTATTATTTTTAGAAACAAGAGAATAAAAAATACCTTTGCTGCAACAATGAAGTATATCAACATCCAAGATATTTTTGTCTCAAACCACCCATATTCTACCATTTTCTGCATCTGTATAGTTATGAATCCAATACAAACTTTCTTTAGAATTACCATCAAATTTGCCTACATCCACCCTTCTCTTTAAAATATCAAAGCAAAAAATTCTGTATTGAGAAATAAACAAAGAGACTATATTTTGCTTTAGAGGTTTATTCAAACCTCTAATATTCTAAAAAGTAATGTTCATTAACTACAAGAAGAGACAACCCCACCCTTATCCGCAAAAGCAGGATCCAAGTTGACCTGATGGGCTTCCTCTTCTAAATTTTCAAAATGCATTTCTTTGAACAATAGTGTATGGATCAGCTGCTCTAGATTTCTCCTTATCCCTGCTCCTAGCAGGTTGTTTATTGGCTCTATCTGTATCAGCTGCTTTAGGAGTACCTCCATCAGAAGCCTCGATATGTCTAGAAGTAGCTGGTGGAACCTGAACTTTAGGCCTCCATTGAATTTAGGATATTTCTTTCTCCTGCATCTTACATCATCATGCCCAAAACTTTGCATACCTCACACCACCTATGCTTATATTCATATACCACCCTTTGTTGTATAACTTGCTCACGAGGCCCTTGAATCTTCACATAATAATTAGGTAAAGCCCAAGGCTTTTGAACTTCAATAAGGACTCTCACATAAGATAATCTTTGTTTAATAGCCCTAAGCTTATCAGAAGTAATTGGCTTGCCAATAAGACTAGCAGTCTTGCTTATATGATTAGCATGCCAAAGATTTAGCCTCAAATTGGCAATTGAATCCGCATCGGGTAAGTATGTGAACTAAATCATCAATGTCATCTTCATTCTTCCATTATCACAATAAAAAAGGTTGATGACTAAAAAACCAAGGTCCTCCCTCAAGCACACTACTCCTCTAGCTCATTAGTAAAATTAAACAGGAAAATTCCATGCTTCAACAAGCATATCTGTGGGGTACCAAAATTTTTCCAAAGTTTATTAACATAAATCTTCACAGCTTTATAAAGGACACTCAGGCCAATAACTTTCCAATCAAAGTGTTATTTCAACAATCAACCCCCTTTTCTCATTCGTCATCATTGAATGAAAACCATTTCTGGAGGAGGAAAATACTCAAGGAATCTCTTGACTTCATCATCCTTAAGTAGCTCATCTTTGTTCATTTCTTGTTCAGCGTTCTCTTCAATATGTGCAGAGTTAGGGATCATCTATCTTTGGGTCTACCTACACATCCCCAGCTGAATCCAAATTTTCAGTATCATCAACCTCAACCAGCCATAGATGCCACAAACCTTGAAGAATCACCACCTCGTTCGAAGTTTCTATCAGGAGCCCCAGCCTTTGAGAGTTTCTCCTGCATTGCATGTTTCTTCTTAGCCCCAAAAGGACAAGTGCTCTTCATGACCTTCGAGTCGGAACCTACACCATATCTAAACCGCAAATCAACATTGAGGACCTTCTTCCCCCCAAAAAACTTTTTTCCTCTTAAAAATGTAGTGGCGCACGATAATGAAATTGCCTTATCATGCGCCCAAAATTTACATATCCATCCACCTTTCAATGCTCTTTTATAATTCTATGCATGTCTAGTCCAAATGATTTTTCAATCTCTTTTAATCTATGTACTTCTGTAAGTTCACATGTTTAATTTTTTCATTAGGAATATGTTACAATGCTACTAACTTACCTTATTGACTCCTTAATTTTACTTTCAAACAGTATACTTATGAGTACTTTGGCCATAGCTCTCTTTAAATCCTAATGCTTTCTTATTTTTTCCTGGCAGATTGGGGTTGCAAAGAAAGATATTCTGAAGCTGCTTGATAGCATTAAAAGTTATAGTATGTACATTAATCCTTTTGTTCTATACACTTTATTCGAGTTCTTAATTAATTTGTACTTACTCTCAAAATAAAACTGAGAGTGGTAATGCATCTATTGTAATATGCTTCACCAGTCTTATTATAATTCTACTATATGTCTGTCATTTTGGTTTGGTTGAACTCATGTATTTTCTCAATATTTTCAATACTGCGATTTTATGATAGTCTTTTAGTTATTGGTTTAGTGCTCCTATGATAATTATGTCAGGGATGCTTGAATGAACTCCTTCTGTAACCTCTGTCCTGATGGTTTGCTTGAAAGATAATTAGTTTTAGAGCTGGAACTCTTCACTTTTGCAACAAAAAGATATAATTGAACCTTTCATTAGTTTATTGTTATGTCATAGGCAAATTTTTTTTGTTGTTGTTATTTTCTATCGAAAGAGTCTGTCACATATTTGGCTAGCTTATTTGTCATTTAAATGCACCTATTTGTCATTGATTTCTTTTTTCCTTTTCCCCCCTCTTGTTTCTGGGGGCCGGTATGGTTGGGATGGGACTAAAAGCGGTGCACTGTTTTCACCTCAGTCTAAAAAAATGACTACATGTTGATTGCCTCTGTTGATTGCCTCATTCAACTGTTGACCTTTTCCAGCAAAAATGTGTATACATGTTGGTTGCCACCACTCCTGACCTCTCCCAGCAGTTATCACCTAAGATGTACTAGTTGACCTTGACTTTGAGAAGTTCTTCAATTAGTTTTTTTGTTCAGCATATAAATACAATTTTTTTGCTGTGCTATCTTTGAGCTCTTCATGACCAAAGCTATTAAGCTTTGTTATTTTTTTTTTGTTTATTTTCCCAATTCCTTGATATAAAATCATAAGTAAAAGTGGGTTAGGCGTTACATGTGAACCTCACTATATTATACAAAAGCCGTCTCCTTTCCTAGTTCTATAAGCTATGTTAAATGGGACTGCCTACTTTTGATTTATGTGTATATACTATAACCCCTTGTCTTACTTCAGATGATGGCGCCTTATATTTTGAAGAGAAGCATGTTGATATGAAGGTGTACAAGGGGCCACTGACAACTACAGCTTCAGTAGTACGTGGTATCACTGCTTTTGCTGCAGTTGCTTCTGGAAAGCTAACTGTAAGTCATGCAATGGTAGAAACACTTCACGTCTCATACAAGTTTTATTATTTGTTATATTAACTTTCAATTGTCAAATCTGCAGATCCCAGGGGATAAAATACTAGGTTTGGCAAAATTTTTTCTCAGCATAGGAATTCCTGGCAGCAGCAAGGACTTGTTCGATCAAATAGACTCATTGTCATGCTTGGAAAACAATAGGCAAGTATATAGTGATGCCTTCATTAACTTCTGTAATCATAACATTCCTTGAAGAGAGATTCACCTAATGTGAGAATCTTCTTGTTTCTGTTGTCACATTGATGTTCTTTTTTAAGCTGTCTTACCTTAGAACCTTCTTACAAAAGTCATGGCGAAGAGACTAAACAGATTGGATGTGGGCGGTCTAGTTTATTTTCTTTATCTGTATGCTTGCCTGTTTTTCCCTTCTATTTTTGGCGCTAATGGTAGTGGGGTAGGTCATGAGTTGAAGCATTGTATTAAATATCCCCGACATGGCCCGATATATCGCCCGATATATCCTTTGGGCTTGCCACAACCAATATGGTTTCTAAATATCCTTTACATCTTTTTTTCTATTTTGAGGTATGTATCCTGATATGACCGATATATCAACCGATATGTTGACGAGTATATCCTTTTGTATGACTTGTCGCAAAAGAATATACCGTGTTTGGCAATTTTTGGGGAAAGTATGATTTTCCCATTATATTAAATGACATTTTAGCCTAAAAAAATTAGATGAAATGTTGCAACATTAATTTGTACTTTTGTTTATTTTACAAGGATGATCAGTGCATTATACTGTATATGCAAACATTCGTCATGGCATTATGATATTTACCACATATTCTCGATCTTTCCCTGATATCCGCAATGCAATATGAATTTTGGCCATCCGATATTTCCCTGAAATCCAGTATTTAAAACCTTGAGTTTAAGGAATGTTGGACATGATGAGAGAAACTCTCTAACCAGAAGTCTAAAATATATTTTCTTAATTATACCTCGAAAGATGATAACTTCCTGTTGTCACTAGACTCACTACAAACATATCCTCTGTGTTAAGATCACTAACTCCACTAGCCTCATTCTAGCTTCTTCTTTTCTAGTTTTACTACTTTCAGAAATTGCATGTTGCCTGTACTAACTTGTCCCTGTTCTCTCAAATCCTACTGGTTTCTTCTTTTGGTACACCATTGTGATAACTTGTTTTAATTATTTTATATGCTCTTAAAATTTCATGTAATTAGATTCTGTTGTAATGTCTTTTTCCCCTGAAACAGGGTGTCCACTCCGCTCATTCTCTCACTTCCATCTACTGTATTCTCATTGACCTCAAGGGACCAGCTTAAGGTAGCATTCAAGTTATGGTGATTTTGCTTTCCATTTTCATAAATTATTATACGTAAGATCTATTTATTCACCTCTTCATTGTTTAATTTAACATAATGTAAGTTGTTTTAATCAATGATATTGGCCTGTTGAGTTTCCTCACAGATTCGATATTGCCATTCCTGTCGCTTTTGTAAAAGAACTTCACTTGGCTTCTTCTTTGCTTATTGTCTTTATCTGATTGGTAAAAGAACTTTACATGGCTCCTTCTTTGCTTATTGCCTTTATCTGATTGAGACCATTTTGCTTGATCTCTGGTATATCACTTGAGTGTTATAGAAATTGCTGCATTTCCATGAACCGTGAAGAGTGACTTTATTTCCTAGAAATATCGAGCTATGGCCTGAAAGCCACGGTGATTATGACAGATTGTTTGAGGGCAAATTTGAATTGTTTGTAGAATTATACTAGAAACTATCTGGTTATAATAGATTTTGTTTCCACTGGCGACTGCTAATCAGCCAACAGTAATTGAAAAACTTAAGCTTATTGTTCTTTATTGAAGATGTCATCCTACTTTCTCAGGTTGAGGTGACTACAGTTTTTGGTTCGTCTGCACCTCCACTAACAGTGACTCTGGTGGAAGCTTCCATTTCTGACTCGAGGAACACCCCTGCTTTGGAGAACCAGGTAAATTAATTTGCTTAAAGGATGATCGGTAACATTGGTTGATTTAGTGGCTATTTAGTCAATAGCATACAGTATTGCTTCTCAATATATTTCTTTTTGTTTTTTTCTGGTTCATTACAGGTGCTCCAATATGACCAAGAAAATAATATCCACTACCTTGATACCCCATCGTTGAAACTTGATGTTGGGAAATACACATTCGTTTTTGAGGTTGTTTGATGGTTCTATTTGTTTTGAACATGTCTGTTTTTGAATGAATTCTCTTTATTGATTGAAAAGGTAGCACTAATGAGGTGGTGTGTCACATACATATGCAGATTTCACTTGAGGATCCTGATCTTGTAAATGCTTATGCTATTGGAGGAGAGACAAGAGCCTTTGTCTTTATTACAGGAACCATCAAAATTGACAAAGCAGAGGTTGCAATATTGAATAGTGATTTTGGGAGCGCGGAGACCACCCACAAGTAAGACGCTTAGTTTTTCTCCCCATGCAGCCACTGGGATTTTATTATTAACAAGCAAATAGTCCCCATATGACGCGGGGGAAGATAACAATTCAGGATATAGTTAAACATTTGAAAAACAAATTTCTTTGAAATGATTTAATCTCAATAATCATAGAAAATTTGACAATACACCCAAAAAAATGCTTGTTTGTTGTATCGAAAAGAACGGAGTCGAAGAAAGTGAAACGAAAACCTCTTCTATAAGGTAAACAAAGGAATAGTTCATGCTGGAGAGAGAATGACTGCAGTACCCATTGGCATTTTCATCATGTGGATGTAGATATTGCATGATTCCTTAGGAAGCAGAAGCAATTACCCAAGTGCCTCTCTATTTATGATATGATGTTTTTCTTGTGTAGATGTGTATTTTTATTTTTCTTCGAGAATACAGCAGCCTAGTGTTTGCTTTCTTTATTCATTTAAATTCCAATTTCACCTAGTTCTAGTAAACTGCATGAAGAGGAACTTTGGACATCTATCATATAACAAGGATTTCTTTGTTATTGCTGAGAAAATCCGGAATCACATACCAAACCAATTTGAATGAGCATTAGAAAAACCACCTAAAAGATCCAAATAACCTATGAGTTTAACGTCTATTTTTTTACTGACAAAATAATATTCTAGAACAACCTGGTGATACAAAGTCAAATGACAATATTGCACTACTAAGAAATAGAAGGAAAATCAATTAAGATGGTAGTTTGTTATTCCTTACCATCTCGTAGACGTATCCCATTTTAGGACTTGTGTAGGACAATTTGAAACTAAAAGTACTTATGAATGTCTTCAACATCCATACTATAAAAGTATTTTCCAGATGAGGGTTAGAAATGGATATCCAAAATATCAAATATGCTTCATATCCATCCATTTAGTCAGATACGATGGAGATAATTTCTACTTAGAACATAGTTATTCCATATGTATATACAGGACATATATTAAACATCCAAAAATGCTATTAGTACTCAGATTAGCTAAATCTCAACCTGATGTTGAAGCCAACTACTATTCATATATCTACTTTTTAATTGAATTTTAATAATAATTGAATTCAAATAACATAGTATTCATATATCTTCTTTATAACCTAGGACAGACTTAGCCCAAAACTCAATATTAATTAAAATGGTGTTATATAAATATCTTAATTGTCTTGACACTTGAATTGTAAAATTTTTTCCAACTTATGTCACTAAAACATCGCCAATGTTGTGATGAAGGAAAGCATGACCAAAGGCTACATCAAGTACTTATACATATTATTCAAAGAGTTTTCGAGATATTTGTCCCCAAATCTCATCAAGTTTGAAGCCACACAAAAACTTAATATTCTAAGATCAGTTCACAAAACTCATTGGTTTCCCTAAATTAGTCCCTTTAGTTTAGATCTGTTAGTATAACTGCAAATAAAGTAATGAAATTATTTTTATTATTTTCTTGTCATAACAATTTCCCCACCCCTCGCCTCCCAATAAAATTTATATATTGGATGCAAAATTTGCACTTAAGAGCATATAACATAGGATAAGTGTTAATGGGTTTAACATTTGCCTTCACGATCGTTACAAGTGGAGTAGGGTTGACGACAAGATATAAAAAAAAACATTTCCATTGCTTTATTTTACAGTTGAACTAACATTTAGTTTTAAGTGGTGAATTTGGGTAACCAAAAGAGTTTTAGGGGATTATTTTATAATATCAAGTTTTAGGGGATTATAATATCGAGTTTTAGGGGACTTATATTAGAATAGGTTAGATTCGAGGGACCAACTTCTTAAAATTCTTTTAAAAGAATAATATCTAAAACAAGGAGAAAGGAAACTAATGGAAAATAATAATTTTTGGAAATAATTTATTAATCAGAATAAAATATGTAGGTGTGTAGTAGGCAATTTGTCACTCTTTAAGTCCAGATTTCAACTTTTAAGCATTCTAAAAACTTATGACCAAGGGAAAGAAATCATCCAACAATGATACCTTGAACAATTGCAAGCACTGAAAGATAAACCAAGAAACCAAAGAACTAGTACAACATAATCCCCAACTTCCATGGATAATGCAAAAATTAATAACTTTACCCAATCGGAGGAGTTAATTCCGTCATGAAATCCAATGGTTAGATAATGATGCTCCAATTATTTACCATGTATTCTATTCTTCACAAATAAAAGTTAGTAGCTACCATCAGAAAATGAGGATGGTTGAAACAATTTCATCAAGAGTACATAAATCACTATATAGTCCACCCCAAAAATAGAAATTTAACATTCCTAATTACTAAAAAATAATCAAAAATCTTATTTCCTAAAGTCAAGCAAAATACTATTTTCTGAGTGCTTTCCTTTGCAATGGGGCATAATGGAGTAAGAATCACAAGGACATATGTTTTTAACCTTTGATGTTTTAAGAGCAAACCATATAAAATTATAAATACAACTAAATATATCTTTTTTGCTTCTAAACATTGGACGTTGGTCTTATTAAATATCTTTGAATAAGATATTCATTTTCGTTTGTGTTCTTCAATCTTGCCATTATTCGATGATATCCTTGATATATCATCTAAGGATATATTGCACTTTTGATAAAGACCTTTAAATAAAGCAGAACCGCTAAATGATGTGGCCTATAAACTGAGAGAAGGTATCTTTAAGTTGCATTATGGGCCAAATTTAGCATGTAATATATAGAATTAATTCGAGATAAGAGTAAATGCTGCAACCCATAGATTACAAAATGTAACCGAGTAACTGAAAATTGACACCTTTGTCTTCAAATGCAACACAATTTGATTGCTTGCTTAGTCAAACTGGTGTCTCTCCTCTTTGGATTCGTTCGATGTGATATAGTAACCAAGTGGAGATAGAAACATTGGCCTTCATTTAACAATATGCGTTAAAAGCATATTCATCAACCTGCAAGACTATCACATAAACATTAACTTGAGATATATTGGAAAAGATATGGTTTAAAAAACTAAATATTTGTCATATTATACGTATAAGTATCGGATGAGAGGAAAACATGTAAGCAATTTTCTACAAACGTAACTCCACAACACGATTTCTCATATACAAATACCATGAATACCAGTGCTAAAGGTCTGTAACCAATATTGTGGAACAATAAAGACTTATTCGTTGGTTAAATTTAAAATCCAAGCATCTTCAACCCACAGATAATTGAGCCTTCAATCTGATCAATCATCACCAATCAGATTTGAACAACAATTTAAATTTTAAGATGGATCTATCGCAAATTGTCGTATACTTGACAATAAATTTTTTTGTTATTATGAAGTATGATCAATTCCTTGTAATTTCTATATTATAATTTGGTATTGTTCCTTCTCATTCTATAGTTGGATACACCAAAAACAACATGATCATTTAACTATAATTCTTCAGTAGAACACCAGTAAAGTGAAAACATAGATTCGATATCATCAGAGACTCAGAGTAACTGTCCAACCATCTAAGTGGAGACATTAAGCTCAGTTACAAAATTTCCTTGAGCACTTTATTTATCAAACTTATGGCACAAACCTAAATGATATTAGAACCGGAAATTTCTCATGTAAACAAAGAAGACACTAGGAGCTATTTATCAATCATCATTAAACTAAAATCATGGAACTAAAGAATTCTCAGTGATCCCTAAAATAAAAAACAGAGGGTTCTTAGTAGTTACATGAAATTTTCCATAAAGAACCTTGTTTATCACCATGAATATTTGGAAGTTATCATCTAAATGTTAACTTAAACGTCTATAGTGATATTCTTGAACACATGAGCTTAGTTAATTTATTTATGACCATACATAGTTTTTAGGATTATTTCTTACCTGTTACATGGTTTACAAATGAGAAGTTTGATTGAGAAATGTAATACACATTGCGTCTTCTCTACCAACTCCTTGTTTCTATCCTCCTTGATATTAATAGTAAGAGCTTTTTCTATGAAGCACTTGCGGTTATTCTCTAAGGCAATCGCCTTGTCCAAATAAGAAAGTTTAAAAATAGGATGTACATAATTTGATTAATGTTGTACTATTGATAACTTGATTATTTTATGCCTTACTTTAGCCTCGGCGTGCACTCATCGAAGTCCACAACTATTGTTCGTTCTGCTGAGAGTTAAAAATTTGACATTAGCCCTGAAGAGCCTTTGTTAATTTCTTAAGAATCAGGTTTCATACATGAGTAAAAGCACAAATGATGCGGTGGTATGACTTCACATGATAAACTATCTCTAGGAATTAAACAAAAAGTAAGAGGCAAGAAAAAACAAAAATAAATGATAGCATTTGCACATTACCTGCATTAGATACATTTGAAGGTTGCCTTATTTACCCCACTTTAAACTCAGGTGATGTCATTTAAGTCAGCTTTACTAGCTAAGTTCTTCCCTGAAATCTCTACTATGCCGTAAACAAAAATACCTGTAAAAATGAATGATACAGTTGTTCAAGTCAAGAATAAAATTATGAGATTCTTGATCAGAGCTATAAATTAAACTTTAGAGGGCTCATATGCCAAAAATTGGAACTTACATTTACATAATAATTTATATTTATAAGTTATGAAGCGGCAACTCGTACAAAAAGAAATAATAAAACCATGCTGCTTAATCTACTGAGAATAGCCAAATAGAATACATGTCACTACTCATATACATAATCGCTAAGGTAACATCTAAAATGGTTGAACTTTTAACAGAATACTATACAAATCTGTTGACAGGAAGATAAATTCGATCTGTTGATATTGTCAATTTGATGCCAAAGAGGAAAATTCACTTCTATCATTACAAGAATAGAGAATAACTATGAGGTCCAATAATGGAAAACAAAAATTCATTTTTTTTTGAAGGAAGTTAGTCTTATAGTGGCAACAAAACCCTAAAACCTCCCTTTTCCTCTCCTCTGAACTCTGGTCCAATTCTGATAGTAATTTTCATCTCCATAATCCGAAAATCCTTTCTTATGAACTTCCCCATCGCATTAAATAATCAACTCTATCATGTCCTCCCTCATCTCCACACTATCCCTCACCACCGACTCCTTGTTCCCATCTATTCACCGCTAAAAAAAGGGGGAAAATGCTTAGGGGGGCTGAAATTTAGTTAGTAGCCTCCCTAAAATACCCTCTAATCCAAGAAACAAAGAATAAAAGTGAAGAGGGAAAAATAGGAACCAAAGAGATGATCAGGAAATAACAAAACTTGCAACCATATCCCAAAATTGCCCCTCACACTGTAGTTATTAGCAGTGAAAAATTTAGAAAAAAACGAAGCGTATAAAGGATAGAAATGGAAATAAGTTGTGGACAGTAGCTGTCAAATTTTGGTACATTACTTTCCTCAAATACCCTGGATTCTTTACCTTGCAACTTGTGGGAAAGATAGTAATATAAAAGACCATGGAGGATACAAAAGGAAAAGATAAAAATTTACCTATCTAGCTTTTAAACATCTATGTAATATGGCAAAGCAAAAACAAAATCGGTATAAGCCAAAGAAATTAGGATTGCCATCACCAATCACTATTATATCACTTCTTATATTTTAGGGATTATATAAATATGTATTCATTGACATTGTTGGAGGATCTGTGGAGAAGAACACATTATATATGTTGAATTCCTTTGTTCGATGATGTCGGATGCATCATTTTAAGATCATGGAGTACTTTATAATTTGAACATTCAGTAGGATTTGGAATTTGCGTAGGCATGGTAGTTTTAATGCAAAAGCATAGTTCAAAATGCTTATACATTCAGATCATTGATTTAATGGGAAAAATTTCCTTGAAACTTAGCCTATATCTAAGTTTATTTTAATACAAAACTTTCTTCAAAGTTCACATTATTGTGATTCCTTTCATTACCATACCTATCACGGTCCCCTTTTAGTTTATTTTAATTCTGTCTTTTCTTTTTTTGGCATAAGAGTTACCATTTAATATATAGTTTTGATTGTCTAGTGGCAGACTTCATCGTGGGTGCCGTATTTGTGTCGGACACGTGTCAGACATGGATTCGCCATGGACACGCCATGTACATGTGTAGTTCAAAGAAAAATTTGATTTCCCCATTACTTAACAGGTATCACCTATGGTATATCGAGCTCAAAACCAATTGGTTTTTGAATTGCAAACCGAAACCCATTACCTAAAATATGTGGAAAATACCCACTGTATCCCACGCGATCAAAACTAAACTTGTGTTGTTAAAACTTAATTCTTAGTTTGATTTAACTTGATTCATAATAATTGATAACTTGATATAGATAGTAAAGTAAACAAACAAATGTTATAATATTTTAATTCAATATTTGATCTAACGTAAATATTTTATATGCATACATGCATGCATGCACACATTCTTGTATGTATGTATACATGCATGCATGAATGTATGTGCGTATGTTGCCTCGTATAAATTTGCTGTGTCTGTCCCATGTCCGGACACCCAACCGTATTTGTAATAGTTCCAACCCTAGTGGCAGGTATTGACTTGTAATAGTTTTAAAACCAATGTTTTTGAAAACCGAGAGTCTGCGGACACTTGAGTGCCCAGCACCCAAGTGCTTAGTCGGACACCTAGGTCCCACCTAGGCATTTCTTTTGCATTTTTGTTCTTCAAATTAATGATAAATTCCTAAATACACAAAATACTAAAAAATTAAAGGGGCAGACGATGAATAGTTAGCTATAAGAACTAAAGGAAACCAATTTTCACTTTTCTTTTAATCGTTCTAGTTTCAGTAGCGTCGCAGTAGTAAGAGCAGGATGAGAAAATGAAAATAATACGGTGGTATCTGCAATAGTCCCAAGCTGAGGTTCTGGCTATAAAAGCCTTGGGCGGAGGCAGTTATAGCATGAGCCTCTGGTAGTAGCAGAAGAGCATCATCATTTAATGGAGTAGGAAGACAAGGAAAGAATTGGATAGAGGAGAGATGGGAGAAGAAGCAGAACAAAGAAAATCAAAGTTTAGAAATAACTACACGTAAAATTTAATTGAACATAGGTATAGTTTTTTTCAGCTGCTGCAGTGTTATGAGGAGAGGCAAGGCTGAAGAGATGGGTCTGCAAATTAGGTGTAAAAACCATAGTTTAATCCAGTGAAAGCCACTTAAAGCAGGTTTCACACCATATTAAGCCGGCTTACTTTTAATAACCAAATTGGAATGTTTTGTGGGGCCTAAAATGCCTAGGCACCCAAGCTCATAATTGGCAGAGCCTAGACTGATTTAAGAAGGCTTATCTGCTGCTTCTGCCTTGGTAGCTGAATAGATGGATGGCCAAACCACTTTCTAAAACACTTCAATCCATTTTTTTCTATGAACGTACTTGTTTGCTATTCTAGCAGACCCCTGATTCCTCATATTGTACTCACATCCTAGTTTACAACTTTACCTTGTTCCGCCCATGGGCTTTGCGATTCAGTGTACTTATCATATGTCATGATTCACTTTTGATTACCCTTGCAGGTTAGATTTAGCAAAAGATAATGCACTGTCACTATCAGCAAACCATTTGCAGAAGTTACGTCTATCTTTCCAACTAACCACTCCTCTTGGACATGGTTTTAAGCCACATCAGGTATCAACTCTTTACTGCCTTTTGTACTTTTTAAGTATTTCTGTGTGACCTAATGTAAAGAATCTATTGTAGGTGTTGCTTAAACTGAGACACGAGAGCAAACTGGAGCATATTTTTATATTGGAGCATTCAGCAAGGCAGTTCAAGATAGTATTGGTTAGGCTTCCACTCTTCTTACTAATCTGCTTATGTGCACTAGCTGATTGCAATAGAAAAGCTATTACTCCTTTTAAAGTTTTATTTCTTATTGAAGATCGTATTTAAGGATATTGTGTTAGGTGCTTACTTCAAGTATTACATATGTTAACCTGGTGGTCTAGATACATACTTGAGAAATTTTAAGAGCTTACAATTAGAAATATGCATCTTTTTAGGGTTTTTTAGTTACCTTTCACATGTTGTTTTATGATAGGGTATAAATGATAACTAAAAGTTGCAAGTGCACAACTATCAAGTCATAGTATAAAAAGTTATCGATCCCACGAGGAATGTGTTTGTAGGAGATAATTAAAATCGATTTTTTGTTGTGTGTGGCAATTAAGAGTGATGAATGCGTGTGATTGTGGAGAGATATGAGGAGTGGTTGTAAATATATGCAAATAACAATACAATGAGATTGGAGAAAGGAATCAAAGAAAATAATAATGAAAAAATCAAGAATAAAGAGAAAATTCAAGAAAGTAAAGATGAAGGATTCAATTAAAGATATGAGGAATCTAGAATTGAATCCACTAGCTAATTTTAATTATAAATTATGATCCATTCTCTTTGTATCATATTTTACTTTAGATTTATTAAGCACAAACTATCAAACCATTTAAGGAAAGTATAACCTATCAAATTATCATCTAAGCAAAATTAATATTCTCATTTGCTTAATATTCATGAAAAGAACAACTAGATAGTAATTCTAGAATTTATAAGCATGACTTATCAAACCACTCAAGATAAGCATAGATTATCACATTCCTCTTCTACCAATTAGTTCTCTAGTTGATTATCCTACACATGATCATTTTAAGTACAAGAGAATAATTCACACAATATAAAAAAAATTAGACTAGTTTCATACAATTCTAGATTCCCTACAAAAATTAGTTCCACATCTAAGAAATAAAAAGAAATAAAATCTAAACTAGAGAAGAATAGAAGAAAAGATTGAAGATAAAAACTAATTACAAAGAAGAGAAATGAGAATAAAGAAATTTACACTATGAACATGGAAAAAATCTAACTAAATTGTAAAAGAAAAGGACAAATGAAAATCTAGATTATGCGAGAAAATAAATCTACTCTTCAAATTAAAAGTGCAAGACAATAAAAAAAGACGAATGTAAATTTACTCTACAAGGCATTAATGTAAATCTAACTGCTAAAGCAAGAAGAAAATTAAAGAAATAAAAATGAAAGGGTAAATTCACATTACAAGAGGGGTTAACCTCATGAAAGCAAACCTTCAAATTGATCTCCATTTTCATCATCATCATCAAATAAAGACAAGAAAAATATGAAGAGGTGAAAAAAATCTTTTATTGATTGCAATAAAAGTTACATATTTGGAAGGTATTCACAATTAAGAGTAACCCTCCTCTCCTAATGGAGTTATAAAATTTTTCACACCCTCAACCCCTCACTCTCTACCCCTAATTATAGTCTACAGTAATGAATGAGAGCCTTTGGATTAAACTTTATCCCCAAGCTAATCAACTTTAGCCCTTAATTTCGCAACAGTAATCACGTATCGATAGGGGTATCGATAGGGGTATTGATACCGGTATCGATACGAGTATCGATAGGGGTATCGATACCGCTATTGATACCGTATCGATAGCAAGTCATTTTCGATTTTCTCTTGGGCTTGGATTCTTAGGCTTTTATGAGAGATGAGATATTGAGTTGTTCTTAGGCTTTTATTCATTAACTTGCAATAAAGATAAAATACGTTTATTAGTGACAAATTTATTTAAATTAAATAGATAATTAGGGTATAAAATGTAATAAAAATATGATTATCAAATACTTTCATACCTAAACTTTTGCTAGTCCTCTAGCAAAGAAAGAAATTAAAAATCTTAACTCACTTTTGCAGGAATCGCGGTTGTATTTAGCGCATAGAACAGACCTTTAAACCCCTAGGTTACCTTAGAGGACGAGTTGTAGTCTCATGAGGGTTTACAGTGAATATACTCACAAAATTTGATTATTTTATCAATTCAAAGAAGTTAGTGAATAATTAATGTCCTTGATATATTTAAACATTCTACTTGAAGCTAGTTATTATTCAAGAAAACGTTTTTATATATAATAAGGTAAATCTCCTAGAAAATCTTTTCATTATAGCTATACAAAACCAAGTCTAACTTAAAAATTTAATTAAAAGTTTTGAAAAGAACATGCTAGCTCTTTGTTTTAAACAATTTTTAAGTCTCTTAGTAAAAATCATTTTTTTTCAAGACCATATATACAAATATATAAACATTATTAATATATTTTTTCACTCTTTATTCCTTGGTGATTTTTATCTACTTTATTGGGCTTTCTAAGTGACCATTTAACGAGTTTTGGGCCAATGAATCCTAACCCAATTGAGCTTAGGTGAATAAGTATGGAAATACTCATTGGGCTTAATTACTCGGTCAACTTAGGCTTTATAAGACAGAATCACCTTAATTCAAGAGTTTTTTTAATATATATATATATATATATATATATATATATATTATATATATATATATATTATAGATTAATGGGTATCATATGTCATATGAGAGGATTCTCTCATATACAATGATGTGCAGCAATCTCCACCAAGTGTATTTATGAGCATCCTTCTCCTACTTTATTCACTTGGTGGAGATTGTGCCACATCATTGTATATGAGGGAATCCTCTCAATATGACATATGATACCCATTAATCTCTCTCTCTCTCTGATTATATTTATATATATATATATATATATATATACATGTGTGTGTATATATATATATGTAACCTAAAAAAATTGTAGACCAAGACCACTTAAAAAATTATTTTTAACTAAGCTAAGCATGTAAATTTTTTATTATTTTAGTTAAAAGTCTAAGTTAAGGCTTTAGTGAGAAGTACACTACTTTGAAAATTTTTTCTTAAGAAATTTATTTAGAGTTATCATAAAAGGTGAACTTGAGTATAAAACTAACTAGGGTTTTTTGAGAATTTAAAAGTTATCAAATAGATCAATTATACATTGATTTGATCAAATTGGCAGAAATAATAAATTTTTTTTAATTGACTAAAAACTAAAAGAAAAGTGCTAACTAGAAAAATGGAATAAAAAAAGAAGGAAAAAAATTACTAAAACTAAAAAAATAAAATACTAACTAACAAATGAAGCGAAATACAAAGAAACAGCTAACTATCTTACACCCCCATACCTAGATTTTGCATTGTCCTCAAGGCAAATACTATCAATAACATCCAAAATATCACAATATATAAATACATGCCAAAATAAAAGTCAAATACTGGGTAAAAGAAACATTCCTTACTGCTCATCACTAGATGGATCATCGTCCGCATCATCAGTGGCAATGCCTATACTCTGTCCAGCTTCATCCTCCCGAAAAATCATCAGGTTGAAGTGGTGTGATAAAACTCTGAAGCTCAGGTGGAGGTTCAGCTGTATCTCTATGCACCCTTTGCCACTCTCTCATCAAATATGCTAAGGACTCGGTGATGTAGTTTATCTGACCGTACATCCTGTTTATCTGACCTTGCATCCTAGTCTGCTCCTCACGAATGAGGTCATGCGTAGCCGGTTGGTGCCGAGGAGGAGCTCTACGTGAAGAACTAGATTGATCTCACCCTGAAATGCTTTTCACAGTCTGATTTGTTTATAATCCCTTCCCTGCTTCTAACCTATCCTCTGTGAAAACTGTAACGGAAAATCTGTGGCAGAGTCTAGTAATCAAATATGGGTAAATAAGCTGAACTCGTGATCTATACTGTGTCCTGGTCCACTCTAGTACACCCTCCACTGACGATCTCATCCACACATAATCCTGGCTATATCAAACTGCCGATCAGTGGCTATCCAATAGATGAGTATATCATGGGTGGTAATGGAAGTGTATGTAGTGGTGGGTTTTAGATCAAAGTTCATAAAAAAATTAAGTAATCTATATATTTAGGTTTGAGATTTCATGAACCAAAGCTGGATGTGAAGATCCTCCTACACAAAATCATGGACATATCATTATATTCTGGTGTACCGGGTTGTAAGTTAGAAACTAACTGAAAGTAATCGGGTACATCGGTCGGTGGTTCCTTAAGTCCAAGAATATCTCGAATTGTGGGAAGATCAAAGACAACTTTAACACCCCTAACTATAGAAAAAGCCGAAAATTATCTATCTGGATCAAATTCCCATCTAATATAGAATTCACGAACTAAAAAAATATTGGCTTTTTCTAGGGGTTTATCCATCATACCCCGAAGTCTTACTCAAGGTTTTAAAAATCGGATGTCGGGTTCATGTCGGATGACTGAAATCCATGTCGGATAGCGGAAATCGGGGATATATCGGGGGACATTGACTAAATATCGGATTGTCATATCGGGTAGTGCGCATATGTATAATATCATGTCCTAAATGTAATCTAAGCATTCATAAATTCAATATAAGCATATTTTATAAATTCTATAGACTAAACATATAAAAAAATAAATAATATATGAATTTGGGTTCATAAATTCTTTCTATCGGGTTCATAAGAAACCCTTAAACATGAGAACGGGTCAAACGAGTTTGGGTATTTATCACTAAACCCAAACCCGATAACAAAAAACAGATCTTAAAAAAAGTACCATATCGGTCGATTTTTCAAAGCTAAAAAATAGGCTGATATGCCTGATATGACCCTGATATTTTCGATTTGGCCCTAAAAACTGACATACGAGTTGAAAACATCCATGTCGTGTCGGTCAAACCCTCAAACTGATATGTCGGTCGATATGTCGGACATGTCGGGCGATATTTAAAACCTTGGTCCTACTGCGATCAACATATCAAGTGTAGATCTATAAGTTTGAAGTGCACTAATCTGAAAATCTCTCGAAATGAATATTTAGACCCATAATCATGGCCAAGATTGTGTCTATCTATTTCGTCATCAG